AATATGTGCAGACCTACAAGCTCTGTATAGCTCGCAGTGTAATAGAACATGTGAATTATCTTCCACTTCTCCTTTACTACATGTGGGAGTATCAGTTAAAATAGTAACAAGCAACAACAACAACACTAGCCATCCTGGATGACAAATGTTGTGGCTTAGATCGAGAATGTTCAGGATGATAAAATTCATTGGCTAGAGTAGAAAATGGACAGCCTCTCTATTCTTAGGATGCTCTGCTCTGGATTGGAATTATAGGATGAAAAAAAATATCGAAACCGAAACCAAAGCTATTGTGCCCTATGACCTTACCTTCAGCATGATTGCCTAGGCTTCATTGTGCTCTTTGCCACTTATTTATAAAGTTTTGTAGTAATTAAAAAAAAACATACACAGAAAAGCATATCATACAGAAACATATACTGCCTACACATGCATGCAGTAATAGAATAACATACAACGCAGTGGCATTGTTTTGTGTTTAAGTAAAAAGATCTGTGACATGCTAACACATTAATTTGTAGTTGAAGCTCTGGCCAACTCCTTTCCATCAAATCAATAACTTTTGGTTAAACTGTTTGGACAATAACGTTGTTATAGCAATAGAAATAGTATTTAGGCTTATATACTGCCCCATAGTGTTTTACAGCACTCTCTGAATGGTTTATAATGTAGAAGCATTATTTGTACATTGCCCCCCAACAATCTGGGTCTTCATTTTCCTGACCTTGGAAGGATGGAAGGCCAAGTCAACTTTGAGCCCATTAAGATCGAACTCCAGGCTGTGGGCAGAATTTGCCTGTAATACTGCATTTTAACCACTGTGCCATAGGCTCAAGTTAGTAAGGTAATTGTTCTGACTCCCCAGACACAACAAACCCTCTGAATTTAACTCAAAGATTCCTTTATTAGGAGGGCCGGCAGCCCTGGCAAAAAGTTTCTCTCTCACCGCAGGCTAACATTCAGCCAGAAGATGAATAGTTGTCTGCCACATCTATTCATCTCCGCCCTCTGCCTTTTATCCCCAGAACTAGGATGTGGCTTTGCTAGCAGTGGTGGCTCTTCTGTCCCAAGGACCGGCCCATAGATTTCCACAGCTCTCCTCTCCTCTGCCTTCTGTGCATCCGCACGTCAGGCACTGGACCCAGCTGCTCCTCCTCTTCTCATCAACCACCTCCCGACCTGGGGGCTGTTGACTCTCCATCTGAGGGGTGAGGGACAGCCTAGACTCTGCCTCTCTCTGTCTCTCTCTCTCTCTCTCTCCCCACCAGCTCTGTTCCCTCTTCCCCCTTGGAGCTCTCAGGTTGCCTTGATGCTGTCCCTGACTCTCACACCGCCGCCTCCTCTGATTCAGCAGCTGGAGGGGCTGATGGCCAAGAAGCCACAGCAGTAACTCTTACTAACTTGAGCTCTTTCAAGCTCTTACAACCATTCCCCCCCCCTCCAATTAGCATTAAATGCAATGCTAGTGTACATCAACGAGACTGAAAGAAATATATAGTGGATATAGTGCGTAGAAATTATGTTATTATGTGATATACCACACCCACTGCAAAATCTGCTTGTTCATACCGTTGTTTGGTGGTGCCATGTTTGCAAGCCACCTTATTTAAATGTGATGTTTTTTGACTGCAAAGAAGGATTAACAGAAAGATTATGAATTCTATGGCAGG